GTTAATTTAATGTTGAATTGATAATTAAAGCAATAAATAATAAAGAATTTAAGAATAGCAATTTGATATAAATATTACATGTGTGAAATATATATTTAAATAATTCCAATCAATTTTACAGAGGATTTATATACCCGCGCATTTCATAAAATTAAGAATTGCAATTTGATATAAATATTACATGTGTGAAATATATATTTAAATAATTCTGATCAATTTTACAAGGGATTTATATACCCCCGCATTTCATAAAATTAAGAATATCAATTGGATATAAACATTACATGTGTGTGTGAAATATATATTTAAATAATTCAATATACGTTACATAGGATTCAATGTATCCCAATTTAATCCAAATAAGTAATGTTAAATATGTGCCAATTTAAAATAAGCATAAAATCAGAATGGATTGACATTCAAAATATTTTTAATTCATTAAATAGTATGATTAATATTATTTTGTAGTTAACCTGTTTTGACTCGTGGTTGGACCGGTGTCAATGTGTCGAACACTAGTGCAATCATATTTGTGCGAAAATCGAGTTATCACTTTTCTAGGGTTACCTTTTTTTTTCGTTTATTTCATTTCTCTCTAATTTCTTTACAAATTTATCTCCTCTTTCTCCACTTAACTCATTTTCCCTTTCTTTATCTTCTCTTTGTTCTTCCTTCACTGTCATTGTTTCGTGCAAGAATAAGATCCTTTCAGTTTTCTCTTCTGGTGCTGTTGTTGATTTTTTAAAGATGCTTGCAGTGTTTGTCTAGAGCCTTTCTCATATTTTGTTTATTTTTTTTCTAACAATTTCAGTTGTTTTTTTGTGAAATTTATTCTTCACCTGTGTTTTATGTGATATTGTACAGTTTTATTTGATCAGCATTGCGTTTGGAGAGTGGATATCAAGTATTTGTTTGAGCTTTTATAGTTTATTTCTGTACAAATATAAGGAACTCTATATTTGTAGAGCTTTCAAAAATTAATAAAATTTCATTGTTTGCTTTTCACAGTTGATTTGGCAATAGTTGACAGACAATTGGAGTTGACAAAGATTCTACAAAATATTGGCACCAACTTAAAGAATCTAAATACTACAAGATAGAAATTGAAAGATGTCATTGATGGGTTGTTGGATATCATGCATTCCACCATGGGTATTATTGCTGATAACTTATTTAGATAAATAGTTCGGCAGCAAGGCAAATTTCATATCAAATGCAGCATATAATAAATCAAATTAAAGTTATGTCTGTCTAGTTTCAAATGCTTCAATCTGTGCATCAATTGAAATTTTATTGATCAAGTTATGACTAATTTACTATTGACTATTTAGTAGAAACCGAGAAACAGAGGAAAGTGGAACGCTTGTGTATTTTGGTGATAGAAACATCCTCAGATGGATATCATATCACATTTTCAATAGTATTATTAACTTACTCAAATAAATGGTTCGGCAGCAAGACAGATTCCATATCAAAGGCAACATATAATATATCAAATTAAAGTCCTGTCTGTCTAGTTTCCAATGCTTCAATCCGTTCATCAATTGGACTTTTATTGAGCAGGTTATGACCAATTTACTACTGAGTGTTCAGTGGAAAGTAAGAAACATAGGAAAACAAAACCTATTCAGATAAATGGTTCAGTAGCAAGGCAGCATATACTATATCAAATTAAAGCTCTATCTATCTACTTTCTAATTCTTCAATCTGTTCATCAATTGGACTTTTATTAAGCAAGTTATGGTCAATTTACTACTGATTGTTCAGTGAAAACAAAAAAAACAGAGGAAAGCGAAATGTTTGTGTATTTTGGTGATAGAAACATCCTCAGCTTAATTCCATTCCAATACATGAATCTTTTCCCTATAAACAATAGCAATAGAAATTAATTGATTTTTATATTAACATTGTGAAGAGATATGTTTACCAAATTGTTGAGACCAGCCGTATTGTTGAAGCCAAATAATATAATATGGTAATAGGCGACCGACGATATCATGGTGGAGTGATATCATATCACATAAATATAGATAGATATTTAATGAGAATGTGAAACATTTGTATTTACGTGAATATGAAAGGACAAACATGAATATACAAATATGAATCTATCGATATTCTTATTTGAATAAACAAAGTTTTAAGTAGACATTTGAAATGCCACTATTTGATATCATATCTTTTCAACCAGAATGCGAAAGGTTTACAGTTATCCAAATTTAGCATTTAATATATCAAATTAAAGTCTTGTCTGTCTAGTTTCTAATGCTTCAATCCATTCATCAATTAACTTTTATTGAGAAAGTTATGACCAATTTATTATTGACTGTTCAGTGGAAACTGAAAAATAGAGGAAAGCGAAATGTTTCTATCTTTTGGTGTGTAAAACATTAATTGTGTGTCTTTTGGTGTGTAAAACGTCCAAAGTACGTGGATAACATTAGATGTTCTTCAACTGTTGTTAGGCGATTAGGAAACTACCACCCTTCGATTTGGGACGAAGGCTATCTGCTCTCATTAACTAGCTATACGGTAGTTTCATGATCTTTATTTTTTGGTTCCTTCTTTTTCAATTTCATTTAGTTTTTATAAATTCGGTAACTACAAGCTAAAATCTCAAATTCTCTTCAGGCAAATGCTTACAGAAAACAATCAGAAAGGCTGATGGAAGAAGTAAGGATGATGATGATCAATGAAGTGACGAAGCCATTGGTTCAACTACAGCTGATTGACACCGTACAAAGACTTGGACTGAGTTATCAATTTGACAATGAGATTAAGAGCATATCGCATAATATCCACAATAACAGCGATGATAAATGGAAGAAAGAAAATCTACACGCAGTATCTCTGGAATTTAGACTCCTCAGACAACATGCTTACTATGTTTCTCAAGGTAGTGAAGCTGTTAATTTCTTTGTAGTCTATATAAATTGGAGAAAAACAATGCTTTATTACGCTTTTCAACCAAATTGGAGTTGAAACAGATTCTACAAAATATTGGCACCAACTTAGAGAATCTAAATACTGCAAGATAAAAATTGAAAGATGTCATTGATGGGTTGTTGGATATCATGAATTCCACCATGGGTATTATTGCTAATAACTTATTCAGATAAATGGTTCGGTGGCAAGGCAAATACCACATCAAATGCAACATATAATATATCAAATTAAAGTTATGTCAGCCTAGTTTCAAATGCTTCAATCCAAGCATCAATTGGAATTTTATTGATCAAGTTATGGTCAATTTACTACTGACTATTCAGTAGAAACCAAGAAATAGAAGAAAGTTAAATGTTCATGTATTTTGATGATAGAAACATCCTCAGCTTGATATCATATCACATTTTCAATAGTATTATTAACTTACTCAAATAAATGGTTTGGTAGCAAGGTAGATTCCATATCACAGGTAGCATATAATATATCAAATTAAAGTCATGTCAGTGTAGTTTCTAATACGTCAATCCATTGATTGAGTAAGTTATGACCAATTTACTACTGACTGTTCAGTAGAAAGTAAGAAACATAGGAAAGCAAAACCTATTCAAATAAATGGTTTGGTAGCAAGGCAGATTCCATATCAATGGCAACATATAATATATCAAATTAAAGTCATGTATGTCTACTTTCGAATTATTTAATCCGTTCATCAATTGGACTTTTATTAAGCAAGTTATGGTCAATTTACTATTGATTATTCCGTGAAAACCATGAAATAGAAGAAAGCGAAATGTTTGTGTATTTTGGTGATAGAAACATCCTCGGCTTGATTCCATTCCAATACATGAATCTTTTCCCTATAAACAACAGCAATAGAAATTAATTGATTTTGATATTAACATTGTGAAGAGATAGGCTTACCAAATTGTTGAGACCAACCGTATGGTTGAAACCAAATAACATAATGCAGCAATAGGCAACTGACGATGTCATGGTGGAATGGTACCATATCACATAAATATAGATAGATATTTAATGAGAATGTGGAACATTTGTATTTACATGAATATGAAGGAACATACATGAATATACAAATATGAATCTATCGATCTTCTTATTTGAATAAACAAAATTTTAAGTAGACATTTGGAATGCCACTATTTGATATCATATCTTTTCGACCAGATTGCGAAAGGTTTACAATTATCCAAATTCAATATATAATATATCAAATTAAAGCCCTGACTGTCTAGTTTCTAATGCTTCAATATGTTCACCAATTAACTTTTATTAAGAAAGTTATGATCAATTTACTACTAACTGTTCAGTGAAAACCAAGAAATAGAGGAAAGCGAAATGTTTTTGTCTTCTGGTGTGTAAAACGTTTATTGTATGTCTTTTGGTGTGTAAAATGTCTAGAGGACGTGGATAACATTAGATGTTCTTAAATTTGACACTTGAGTTTTATTTTGAATAGTAATATGTGTCATTAATACTAACAAATATGAATCATCAATTACAATAAGCCATATGTAACAAAAAATCTTACACATCCACATATCTCACATCATCACCAATTACATACAGCTAAATGTACATATCTCACATTATCACCAATTACATACAGCCACATGTCAAACAATCATCCAACATGTCAAAATCCACCAATTTTAGAGCTTTAAAACCCTACATGTCAATCAAACAGGTCATGCCTCAGAATTATAGAGATATATAGATGCTAAGTTATACCGTAACAAAGTAATTTTTGCTTCATCACCGCATCTTTGTTTTCCATTTACAACTGTGTCATATAACTAGACAAAAATAGCACAAAATTCATGTAAAATAACTATTTTGTCATTTGCTTTTTGTCTAGTTTAATGACTCGGTTGTAAGCATAACATTACTTTTTCCCTTTTAATTCTATGGAATTGGTTTTTTTTTTTTTTTTTTTTTTGGCATGAAAACTTCTTTGTTATTCTATATATAGCTTTCAAACCCAATAAAGTTATCGTATAGCAAGCAGTGATTTTTACATACTTAATAGAGTTTGTAAGCATAGCATATTGCTACAAGCTTAACTTAATTTATAGTAATGGCTTTTTGCATGAAATCAACCTCTATTCCTTCTCCCACTGTTTTCAAATATTCAACTAGACTGCTTGTCCCAAGAAGAGCAACCAGCAGAATCAGTGTTCACAAGAAATTCCAATGCATTGCTGGCTCGGAACTTAGTACTTCAACTGTTGTTAGGCGATCAGGAAACTACCACCCTTCGATTTGGGACGAAGGCTATCTGCTCTCATTAACTAGCGACTATACGGTAGTTTCATGATCTTTATTTTTTGGTTCCTTCTTTTTCAATTTCATTTAGTTTTTATAAATTCGGTCACTGCAAGCTAAAATCTCAAATTTTCTTCAGGGAGATGCTTACAGAAAACAAGCAGAAAGGCTGAAGGAAGAAGTGAGGATGATAATGATGATCAATGAAGTGACGAAGCCATTGGTTCAACTACAGCTGATTGACACCGTACAAAGACTTGGACTGAGTTATCAATTTGACAATGAGATTACGAGCATATTGCATAATATCCACAATAACAGCGATGATAAATTGAAGAAAGAAAATCTACATGCAGTTTCTCTAGAATTTAGACTCCTCAGACAACATGCTTATTATGTTTCTCAAGGTAGTGAAGCTGTTAATTTCTTTTTAGTCTATATAAATTGGAGAAAAACAATGCTTTATTGCGCTTTTCAACCAAATGACATGGTTTATGACATTCTCAGACATAAGGATTCAAAAGTGGTGCTGAATCCTTATCTCTGAGAATGTCATAAATCATTTCATTAACATGATTGAAAAGCGCAAGAAAAGCATATTTTCATGTAGTGCGGCAGCTGTTCAATTATATTTATATATATATACATGTATACACATATATTTGTTCTTCTTAAATTTTACCTTTGTATTTGTTTATAAGGTTTTATGTTTCATTCATTTCTCACAAATATAATGTTCTAATTCTACTTCTTTTTGCCATGTGCATCAGTGGGCAAGTTTATTGCAAGCCTTTTTTCAGGAGGCAAAATGGTACCACGCTCAATATAAACCAACACTGGAAGAATATATGAAAAAGGTACTTATACCCATCACGGGCCCTATAATATCAATTCTATCATACTTGTCTTCTACAGATCCGATTTTAAAGAAGGAATTATAATATAAAGAAAGCAATTCTGCGGTAGTATACTGGGCATCTGTAGTTTTTCGGCTGCAAGATGATTTGGGAACTTCAACGATATTAAAATTGTCATTATTATCTACACTTGCGTTAAAATGTTATTGAATTTGATTGATTAATTAATTGTGTTTCTTTCAATTATTCAGGACGAGATAAAAATAGGGGATGTTCCTAAAGCTTTGCAGTGTCACATCAATGACACTGGTTGTTATGAGGAAGCTGCTCGTGAACACATCAAGGAACTAATGAGAGAAGGTTGGAAGAAGGTGAATTTACCCATATCTCAATAATAAATTATAAAGGTATATTGGTACTTCAATAGTCAAACATGGTCAAACGTAATTTTATTGGATGAAAGTTAAAAGTGGGTAGCACATTGATAATCTTCGAAACTAAGGGTGGCAAATTTAGTTGATGAAATAAAGGGTGAACAAAATAATTCGGCCAATTTTTATTAAAAGAATTTTAAACTATCCCTCATCTTTTGCTAATATTTAAACTCATGACAATTATGCAAGACTTAGTCAAAAACTACCATTAAGCCTTGAATCTTGATGCTAATTAAGTTTGTTACCTTGAAAATTGGATTTATTGTGAAAATAATTTTTTGCCTTCACTATATTACATTTGTACTGAATTATAAAAATACGATGATTAAATGACTTATATACCCTCACATAAATTTTTAATGACAAATATAAAAAAGGTTTATGGTCACTTCACTTGTATTTACTATTTGTTTTAAGGGATTAGTATTAAATATCGTCGAGGTTTGCTGAAAACAAATAAACCACCTTCGGTGTTGGTACCTCTTTGTTTTGTCTCTTTGTCGATTGCCAACCTATGAATTTCCAAGAAGTAGTGCAAGTCAAGAAGTAGAGAGATGCAATGGACGAAGAAATCAAAGCAATTGTGAATAATGACATGTGGGAACATATTCATCTCCTAAAAGATACAAGGCGATAAGAGTTAAGTGGGTTTACAAAACAAAGAAGTATGCGAAAAGAGAGATCAAAAGATAAAGGCGACGCTCGTAGCAAAAGGATATTGTCAAAGAGTTGGCATTGACTATGGTAAGGTATGTGTTCTCATTGCTCACTTAGAAACCATACGACTAATCATTTCTTTGGCAGCTCAAAATAAGTTGAAGATTCATCATATAGATGTAAAGTCTAGTTTCCTGAATGGAGTACTCGAAGAAGAAGTTTACAGTAAACAATCGTTGTGCTATGAAGTGAAAGAGCAAGAAGACAACGTCTTGAAGTTGAACAAAGCTCTTTATAGGTTGAAACAAGCACTTCGGGCATGAAATAGCCGTATTGATGGGTATTTTCAAGAGAATGGTTTCACCAAACGTCCTCATGAGCATGCTCTTTATGTCAAGATCAAGAATGGATATGTTTTGATTGTGTGCTTGTATGCCTAATTAGTAAATTCGCGTTTTATATGCGAATCATATGGCCAGTCATATAACGGGCAGCCATATAATTTGAGAATTATATGCCCCAGTCAAATTATTCCCGAATTATAAGATCGTATTTTTGTAGACAAAAATTCATTATTTGATAAGGGAAAACGACGCCGTTTGAGGGGGGGTTTTGTCAAATTAAATGAAATCTCCTCTTTGTCTCTTCTTCAACTATCAAATATCAATTATCAAATGAAATCAAACAAAAACAGTCGAATCATTGAATCTTGATCTCTTTCCTTCTCTTTTGAGTCTTGACCTCTTCTTCTCTTCTCTTTTTCCAAGACTTCAAGCCTCAAGGTTCATACATCATCTCCTCTTTTTAACTCTCTTATAATCGCGTATGTTGGTGGAGTGGATTGTTTGTGTTTGTTTTAGTGTGTGAGTAATAGTAGTAATAGTAGTAGTAGGGGCTGGCTTGGTGTTTTTATTGGATTCTTGATTTTTTATGTTGGTGGATTGATTTGCGTATAAAACATGTTTGATGAAATGTAACGCCCCACTTGAGGTACGTAGTAAATTATGTTGTATGCGTGAATGTTTGTTGATGTGTTCTTTTTTGAGCCTGCATGTTGTTATTTTGGTTGGTTGGCCCTTGGTTGAGTGTTTGCCTTGATTTTGGTTGAGTTTTGGCGAATGTTGGAATTTCAGTCTTCGCCGGGGCGAAGAATAGTCTTCACCGAGGCGACGTTGGCTTTGTAATGTGCGGTGTCGGTTCTGTAATTCTTCGCCGCGGCAACGAAAAGTTCTTCGTCGCGGCGACGGGCCGGCTGAAAAGTTTAATGAAGTTTCTAGATATTTTTTCCATAGGGGCAAAATGACCATTCTACCCCTAATTAGCAGGAAAAGTGGGGAGTGAATTGTAAGGAAATTTGATGGAGAATATGTTAGAGTGGGGGTGCGATTGTAATGAATCAAAGGACAATGATAGAATTTCCAAGAAAGAGCAAGGGCAATAGGGGAATGAATGAAGATATTTTGAGCTAAAAAGGGATTAAGCTTAGTAAACCCTTCATTCTTCATCTTCCACCGCCTCTTCCATTCTCCATTTCCTCTCAACTTTCCCTTCAACCTTTCAAGAATTTTACAGGGCTTTTTGAGTAGTTTGGGGTAGAAAATTAATCTAAGGCATCCTAAGGTAAGGATTCTAGCTTTAGATGTGAAGTTTTGCATATATTTGTATATTGAAGTCTGATGGTGTTATTGTTTAAAGGGTAGAGAAGAGACAAGCAATCTAAAGGAAAGGAAAGTGCTAGTGAGATCTCTCCATTACAAGGTAAGTAAATCCCAATCCAAGTTAATATTTGAGAACTCTTTTGAGTAGAGATTTAATAGAAATTGTGTATGCATGTTAGATGATATGTATTGTAACGCCCCACTTAAGGTACGTAGTTAAGATTCGTTGTATTGCTTAAATGTTTATTGGTTCAGCTTCAAGTAAGTTTATATGTTGTTATTTTGGTTTGGTTGAGTGGTTGCCCTGAAAATTATGAAGACTTGGCGAAATGTTGTGTTATAGGCTTCGCCTGGGCGAAGAAGAATTTTAGCCGCGATGAAGAAGTGCTGCAGCCCACGGAGTAGCTGCTGGAGTGTTTCGCCGCAGCGACGAAATTGTCTTCGCCGTGGCGACGGGTCGACTGAAAAATGTTATTAAGTTTTAGATATTTTCTTTTTAAGGGCAATTTGACTATTCTATCCCTAATTAGCAGGAAAAGTGGGGAGTAAAATGTAAAGAAATTTCATGGAGAATATGTTAGTATGGGGGTGTGATTGTAAGGAATCAAAGAATATGGATGGAATTTCTAAGAAAGAGCAAGGGTAAAATGGGGATGTTTGTGTATAAGTTGAGCTAAAAAGGGTTAAGTGTAGAGAACCCTTCATTTCATCCATTTCCACCGCCTCTTCCATTCTCTACTTCTTCTCAAATTTCCTTCAATCTTCCAAGGATTTCTAAGGACTTTTTTAGTAGTTTTTTAGTAGAGTTTTAATCTAAAGCATCCTAAGGTAAGGATCCTTGCTTTAGATGAGAGTTTTATTATATTTTGGTTAAAGTCTTATGTTGTGGTTGTTATTTAAAGTTGTAGAGAGAAATCAAGCTACCAAAGGAAATGAGAAATATTAGAGAAGCTATTTCCTCGCAAGGTAAGTAAATCCAACCCAAGTGAGATTTAAGAACTCCTTTGAGTGGAGATTTATGTATAAATGTGTATTCATTATATCAATTGAGATGAGATGGATGCTATTTATGCTTGTTGTTGTATATATTTAAATATGAGAAATGTTGAGATTGCTTGATGTTGGGTTGAGTTTGAGTGAAGTGGAATGAATTTTTGATTAAATTTATAGAAGTGTTTTCCTTTGACAGGGAAATTAGAGAGTATAAGGGAGCCTCTCTCCCATTTTGGATGATTAAAGAAAAGAGAAAAGTTATAGTTAAAGTAGAGCTTTATATGCATATGAGTTGTATGATGAAATGCTCAAGAGAAGCATGAGTAACAGTAAAAAGCCTTAATTTTTGCTACATGGCATAATTGCATCTCATAAGTGCATTAATGAGCATGAGTCATCTATATGCATTAATTATGCACTAGAGAAGAGATAAGAGAGTAGAGAAATTGAGTATAAGCTACTCTAAGAGTAAAGAGAAAGAGAGAGAATAAGCACTAGAGATCAAAGAGAAAGTAGTGCTAGACAAGAGAATAGAGTAGGTTGTGCGATGGGGAACCCGTGACTAATGGGTAGAGTATTCCCGCATGTACGCTGCATTGAGAGAACGGCATGAGTATGAGAGAGATGTGGTGTAGCCCGTGAGAGTGCATGAGGATGAGGGCTATACCCGAGTTTACCCGAGAGAGAGATTATGTACTCACATGGCCAAGGGTTCTGAATCCATAAATAACCTAGTCCGATCGGCTAGAATGAGTAAAAGTCACGGAGAGTGGGAGTGAGTCCTAGCCGTGCCTCCAGTCAGATGGGCCATGACTTTCTAGAGAGAGAGTTAACAGAAAAGAAAGAGAAACAGAGAGAGAGAGCAGAGAGAGTAAACGAGAATTGTAAGGAAAGAATTGAAGAGAAAGAGTTACGGGGATAGATGAGTAGAGGGTTTACTTACTGAGCATTGTTTTGTGTTCACCCCGTTGTTTCCTATGTTTTTGCAGGATCTAGGTGAAGACACGGTCGGATGGATGTCGGCAAGCAAGGGGAAATGGCTACGCTGTCCACCTTATTGTTCATAGTTTTGTATATGACATGAGTTTTGTACAAAGAATGTATATGTTTAATAAAAGAAAAATTTGGGCCCAACTTTTTATGCTAGTTTACATGTATTTTACTATGCATATTTTATGAGAATACGAGTAGAAAGCAGTCATTACATGTATTGAGAATTCAGATGGAGATGAATAATTGCTTTGTGGTTGTTAAATACACTTCAACTATGAGAAGTGTGATGTGTGATGAGAATGTAGTTTGAGATGAAATTGGAGGAGATTGAGAAATCTCTTTGGAAGTGTTATGTTATGACAGGAATTATAGCTTGGTGTAGGAGTTTCTCCAATTTTGGATGGTTCAAGAGAGGGATAGGACTATAGATAAAGTAGAGTTTATGTATGCACACTAGTTGTTTGATGAAATGCCTAAGAGAATCATGAGTAGTAAACCTTAATTCTTGGAACATTGCATGTTGACATTTCATGAGTGCATTAGTGGAGATGAACCATCCATATACATTAATTGTGCATTGAGAAGTGGCTTGAGAAAGAGTAAAGAACTGTGTGAATGAACTACTCTAAGAGTAGAGAGAATGAGAAGAGCACTAAGGGCGGGTTGGTGCTTTGTGATCTCCACTCGATAGTCACTAAGAGCAGGTTGGTGCTTTGTGATCTCCACTCGGTAGTCACTAAGAACGGGTTGGTGCTTTGTGAACTCCACCCAACAGTCACGAAGAGTGGGATTGTGCTTTGTGAACTCCACCCAGCCGTGCCTCAGGTAAGATGAGGCCGTGACATATAGCAGAAAGAGAGCTATGTGAAAGAGAAAATAAATGAGATGAGAAAAAGCGTAAGGAAATAATTAAGAGAAAGAGTTACGGGGACAGTCGAGTAGAGGATTTACTTACTGAGCATTATTTTGTGTTCACCCTGTTGTTTTTCTTTGTGGTTGCAGGATCTAGGTGAGAACGCGGTCGGATGGGCGTCGGCAAGTGAGGAGCAATAGCTACACTGTCCACTGTTTTAATGGCATTTTGTAAATGATATTCTAGTTTGTATAAAGAATGTTTATATGTAATAAAAGAAAATTTTCGAGCCCAACTACTTTTAGCACAATACATGTATTTTACTGATGTATTTCTATAAGTATCCTAGTATTAAGTAGTCATTACATTTTTGGTATCAGAGCCAAGATTTTAGGATTTGACAGTGTACTATTCTCATCGCTATGACGTCCGATAACCGACTGTGTGAGTTAATTCTTTCCTTACTATAACTGTTTCTCGATTTGATTAAATGTGACTGTTT